TTTATGAATTGTTAGCCAGGGAAACAAAACGCAATCAAACGGTGTCTTACGAAACCTCCAACCAATGTATTGATGGATTTATACTTTAATACGCAAACGTCCCCGCTATGCGATATACATCTACGGTGAGGCCACCAAAACACTTTTTAGTTTGACATGCAAGTTACGTTTCGCAATACTTTTCATCCCACGACTCGTCAAGCATTGCTTTGTTATCTGCAATTCACCATTGTTCCATTGCAAACCACCACATTTTTCATGACAGTAAAGCTTCAAGTGAAGCCACGGTGTATACAAAAGGTGGACAATGTAACGTGGATATCACTATAAACTATGAACGTACCAATCTATACATCTAGGCATGCTTATATCCTGGGAATACTTGCCGAAAGTATGTAGCAAAGGCATTATGACGAAAGGCATGTCATCCCTCATGACGATGCATTTGCATGCAATGACCGACAATGGAATCGCAATTTAAGCCAGATTCTCAACGAGCGAATAGAGCACGGCGCGCCAGAAGCTCAAGTGAAATGCATAGGACATGACCGAGACCTCTCAACTGGCGCACCAAAACCAGTTTGTTGAAGGGAATACTCGCATTTCCCAAAATACGACGTCGAACATCATTAGTGTTAACTCGATGTTGCCACCAAACACGAGCTGTCCTCCTGAAGCAACCGGTATCGAAGGCAGAAAGACGACGCATGTCTTCCACGCGAATCTGCCAGGACTCGCTCCTATACAATAATACTGAGCAAAAAGATGCGTTGTAAACGCGGCCCTTTAGTGAGCCTGAGAGGTCGCGACGACGCCACAAGTGCCTCAGATTGGCACATGTTAATCAGGCTTTAGGGATGCGAAGAGAACCTTCTTTGCTGGTAGTGTCGTCAGTAGGAACACAGCTCCCAAGGTAGACGAAACTACTGTAGTGCCCTAAAAGATAACTGCTACCTTTCATGTACAATTTATTTTTGTTGATCAAATGTTGTTCGCAATCTATGTAAATGACTTGTCGGGAGAGCTAGGGATGTCATCACTAATGTTTGCTGACGACCTTAAGCTCTGGCATATTGTGGATATCCCGCGGGGTCCTAAGGCAATTCAGCGTGCCTTCGATAGGCTCTGGGAATGGTCTGCTTTATGGTGCCTGCTTAGCTGTCTTCTGTGCTTTATGGTTTTGTTTATTTTTGGGTTTATGCACTTTCTTTATTGCCCTTGGTGTCTTGTTGCTTTTTATTCTTTGCTTGCTGGTTGGCGTTTGGTTTTTTGCATTGATAATGCCCATCTATTTATAGGGGCACATCACAATGGCCTCCACAACCAAAATCTCTGTTCTCCGATTCGGTAAGCTTAGCAGCTAAGATGGCATAATCCTCCACCTGGATACGTTTTTTGTTCTGTCGGCGGCGGGGGCTGGTTGAAACTCCATTGTTTGTCCTCAGGCAAGCAGGTTGATTAGGGAAAAATCGTCACACGCCATCAGCACTTCATTCTGGAAGGAAAACAAACTGAGTGAATAAGCGAAGGCTCCTCTGCTGCTTGCCTGCTTGTCTCCTGCCCTGTTTTCTTGCTTGTCGGGGGGGTTTCGTTTATGAATTTATGAGGTTGTGGGTTGGGGGTTTCGTGTGGTGGTTTTTTGGGGGGGGGTTTTTTCGTTTATGATATGATGTTTGTTTTTTTATCCGCCCCGCGACCGTGCTCAGCCGCTCCGCCTCTCTCGCGCGAGCTTCAGCTCATCCGCTCTTTCGGCGCGCCGCCCGCCTTTCTTTCGGAAATAAATATCTTTAAACTAAAAAAATCAAAAAAATCTTAATCGGCCAAGGTTGTTTTTTGTGAAGCTTGTATTATCGGCCATTCGTTCCCTCCTCTCTTGGAAAATTTTGTAATTTCAGGCTGGTGCTCCACCATTGTCTGAACCGTGTCAAAAGGGACTTGGGATGGGTGAGGTGTTGTGTTATATATGTAATATGGTTTGTGTTTTATGTTGTTTGTTTGTTGTGTTACGATGGGGGCTACTCGGTGTTTTAGTTAGTGGCAGGGGGTGTGGGTTCCATACGGGGACAGAACCCGTCCTCCTGAGTCGCTTTTTTTCTTGTTTTTGTTTTGCTAGTTTGGGGGTGAATGGTTTGGGGGCTTGGGGGGGTGTTCTCAAGGGGGTTGTTATAGCCGTGTGGTTTTGTTTGTGGTTAGTACATCAATGCAACTTCCGAAAAAAGGCAAGGGGTTTGTATAAGTTGAAGAGGGAAAGGAAAGGGATATTTTAATATGCGAATATAAGAGGGGTGACCTGTACATGATCCTTCACTTATCTGTAATTTTTGACGGGTTGGTTATATATTAAAGATTTTAAGATTTGGCCCAGGACTTGTCCAGGGCTTTTTTTTTTTCAGGGAAAGTCCCCCGCTTACGTTACCTAATCTCCGCGGTCACCCGTGACTGCTGATTGCTACGATGGAATGACTGTGATTGTATCTGAACTTGGGGACTTGATGACTGAAACTTGATGGAAACTGGACTGACTGACTGAACTTTGAGGATTCTGGTAACTTGTGAAAACTTGACTGATGGAAAAACTGCAGAAACCATAGGTATATATTTTCTCTGATAGGATTATATTATTTTAGGATTCTAATTTTTCTTTTTCTGTAGGATTATTAGGACGGATAAAATCGTCTATTATCGCCGCCGAGTTATAGCGCCGAGTTAGTTATCCGAGCAGAGAGGAGTTTTTAGATTAGATGTTATAGGATAGCTTGTTTAAAAGTTTAGAGTTGAGTTTTTCGGAGGTTGAGTCGAGTTTCCGAGTTTAGTTTAAGTAGTTAGAGAGTTTATAGAAGTTTTCGTAGTGTTTCGAGTTTTGTCTCGGAGTTATTGAAGTTAGTGTTAGGACGTAGTTCGAGTTAAGTTAGTTTTAAGTTATGGTAAGGTAAGTTTAGTTAAGTTGCTGAGTTTACTAGTAGTAAGCCGAGTTTTAGTTATAGAGGTGTTAATTAGTTATAGTTTTAGTTATAGATCGCTGGAAGTTGAGGGTAGTTAGCCGAGTTCCGAGTTAGTTAGTTAGAGTTAGTTAGTTTTTTTAAGTTAGTTATAGACTGTTATAGTATGTTATAGTTTATAGGTAGTCGAGAGTTAGTTGATGGTTAGAGGGAGTTTGATAGTTATTATAGATGCCCTGGCTGAAGTTAGTTAAGAGTTAGTTAGAGTTTATAGGTTAGTTAGTTTTAGTTTAAGTTAGTTAAGCAGTTTTAGTGTTGGTGAAAGTTATATGTTTGTTTTAGTTATAGGAGTTTTATTGTTATTTTGTTTTTTTATTAGTTTAAGTTAGTTATAGTTAGTTTATTATTTAGTTATTAGTTTTTTAGTGTTAGTTAGTTTATTATAGGTTTGGAGCTAGTTATAGTTTTATAGATCGACTGAGGGTTTCTGTTAGTTCAGTTTTATAGATTTCAGCCCATGGCCTTGGATTCGCCTCTTCCATTCCCCAAGAAACAGCTGTGTGGGGAGCCAACCACTGACCCACGTGTCCGTGGTTATAAACCTCACGGTTTTTTTATAAGGGTTTTGCGAACCAGAAGATCGATGCTCCTGGGTTTAGGCAGTGTGGGCAATGTGGGAGTTTGTGGGTTCACGGATTGGCACTATACGTGGCGGGGGTGTGGCCACCATCCACGGCCAGGCCAGGGCAAGAAGAACGGCATTCGGCCAAGTGGTGCGGGGGGCTAATACGGTGGCAATGTGGTTGTGGGCGAACTGCTGGCATAGCAAGGCAACCGGCTCGTAATCAGGCAACGTAGTGCTCGGCAAAGTTGGGGCACAACGGCCTAACCTTGTACGGGGGTCAGGTAGCACCGGAACAACTCCTTCACACAACACACTCGAACAACTCCTTCACTTGATCTGCATTTTTTTTTAACGATCTACGCTCAAATATATGCCGGGTTATTATTTCCACTTGCTTAGCTCTGTCCTCGGGATCTTGGGCCTTCTGAAGTTTATACTTGTTTTCTTGTCCGTAACCTGGTGGGCGCTGGTGACCATCTGTGTGCCTGCCCCAGGCTCACGCGTTTTGTCGTCCGCGGTGTTCTCCCGGTGTGTTGTGCCAGGTGTAGTGCTGTTTGAGTTTCGTGTCGAGGTGCTTGCCTTCTTGTCGTTGTTGTTGTGGTATGTTCCTTATCCTGAGGGATTTGGCTTGATCTGAAGGTGCCTTTGGGTTGTTAACCACTTTTCTTCTTGTATTAGGAACTGATAAATTAATTGGAAGGGGAGAGTGCACACCCCAATTGCAAAATTTAATCCGGAAATACCTATTGTGTGTGTTCCTTTGGCACCGAGGCGGGCTAGCCAGCTTAATTCAGACAGGTTTTCACCCAAATATGGAAGTTGTTACGTTTCGGGGTCGTGTGGTCTAAAGTCGAGATAATTGGCGCTCCCTTGCATGGCGGGGGGGGGGGACCATCTCATTTTAAAATTATGGGAAAACAGCTTTGAAAAACTGCAGTTGGTGGCATCATCTTTTCCATCATTTTCATGCAAAGATCGGATCCGCTCCTCTCGTCATCAAGTCTATCTTGAAATGGAGTGGAATCCGCTTCCCCCTTGTGAGTGGAGTGGAACCCGCCTTTGTGAAGGGAGCGGGGGGTCCGTTCCGGGTTTTTCTCTGTTTACATCCGTATCTGCTTGTTCATGATTTGCCATTCCGGTCTGTGATCTGCTGGCCCGTTCTGCGTGTTATTGTACATAACCGTTTTATATTACCTCGTTGTGTAATTTTTGATTCCATTAAGTCGTTTTTTTCCATCTTGGCTTGCTACATTGTTTACTAGTGTTTTTACTGTTTGTCAACTCTAAAATACACCCATCGGATCATCGTCCCGATGCTGCCAACAGTTTGTGCGCACGTAAACGAGTACATGCGTACGTTTGTCACCCCGAGTCGCCACTCCACATGTTCGCTTGTCTTTGTTGCAAGCAACAGTTACCTCGGGCGTCACGGCCCGATGCGCGCGAGGCGCCCCGCCCGGCGCTGGACCGGCTGCGACCGCGCCCGCGGCGCCCGTGATCGCCGCCGCGTCGCGCGCTCCCCCGCCGCGCCGCCCGCCGCCCGCCTGCAGCCCCCGCGCGCCCCGCCCCCGCTCGCCGCGCCGGCGAGCCGCGCGCCCGCTGCCACCAGCCGCGCGCCCTCCGCGCAGCGAGGCCACCGCGCGCGTCCGCGCACCGCCGCCCGCGACGCGCGCCCGTCGCCAGCGCGGCGCGCCGCCCGTCCCTGCCTCGACGCGCCCGCGCCGCGACGCTAGCCTCGCCCGCTGTGCTTAATAATCTCACAGCCGGGGTGGAAACTTCTCGCCGCGCCCAGACTCGCCGCAAACAACGGCATCCCGCTCGACGAGCGCCGCGGCGCACCGCCCGCTCCGCCACGCCCGCCCCGCGCCGCACCCTCGCGCGGCGCCCGCGCCCCGGCGCCGCGCTGCCGCGCGCTCCGCCGGCCCGCCGCAGCCCGCGTGCCAGCCGGCCGACGCGCGCTGTCCCGATCAGCCGCCGCACCGACCGCTGCGCCGACTGTCCCGACGCCGCGAGCAACGCCCGCCCCGCGCGCAACCGCCCGCACACCCGGCCGCTCCGTACGCCCGCTACCGCCGCTGCGCCGCCGCGCGGCGCTGCGCGCCGCAGGCCACGCCGCCGCAGCACGTCACGGCGCGCGCGCGCTCGCGCAGCTGCCGCTGTTGACCAGCTCGCTCCGGCTGAACGGCCCGCACGACACGCGCAATCGCGCGCCGCGCCTAGCGACTCAGCCCCGCGACGCGCCACCAGACGGTGCCCGCCGCCGCGCCTCGGCGTCCGCGCCAGCGCTCGCAGCGGGCGCCCGCGTCCGACACGCTGTCGCGCGCCCGCCGCTCGTCGCGCCCGCTTCGCGGACGCGCCCGCGCGCCCGGCCGCGCGGTGTTCGTGTGCTCTGCCCCGACTCAAGAACAGGGTGGGGGATATTATATAGTCGCGTAGGCGCCCCGCGGCGCTCCACCGCAGCGCACGCTGCCGCGCCCCAGCTCGCGCCACGACACCGCGCGCACTGTGCGCCGCGACCCACGCCCCGCGGCGCGGCGGCCGCTGTTGCTCGCTGTACCCGCGATCGCGCGCCGCCCGCGCGCGCCGCTCGTGCCCCCGCGCGGTGTGCACACGCCCCGGGCCGGCGCTGTGCGCCCACGCCCGGACGCACGCCGACCGGCGCACGCGCCGGCCCCCCGCGGTGCCGCGCGCTCGTGCAGTCCGGCGCGTCGACGTCGACCACGCGCTGCGCCCGCGCGCGCTAGTGCTCGCCGCGCGCGTGGCTCCGCCGGCGCGCTGCCCTGCAGCGCCCGACGTCGCGCTTGCCGCCGCGCCCCGCGCGCCGCTTGGCGCACGCCGCCCGCCGCACACAGCGAAATAGGCTAATAAGTGATCTACAAAGCAACTCGTAGGCTGGGTATACTCGTTCGCCGCTCACTAGGATACGCAAGTCTGGATGAGGCATACAATATCGAGTGATGAGTAGCGCAAATTATCCTTGATACCCTTACATTTTTGCTTAACCTACTGGTAGAGCAGCTTCCGCAGGTAAACTAAATAAGCCATGCAGCGTCTGTCGAGGAGGTGCCACAGCAAATCCCGATAGAGTGAAGAAGAAAATTGTTAACAGATCAAAGTTGTCAGCTGACAAAATTTAAGCGGGGGTTGGCAGGCCTAAATCGTTCATGACAGCGCGTGAACATAGCGAACGTTATGAGAATAACTTCGCGGGAATGAAAGTGTAGAGTTAATCACACGAGGAACCCATAGGGACTAAATGAACTCGGCTGGTCCAGGTTGAAACTACGGCCACATGAATCTTGGTGGAGTAACTAAGAAGCCAAGTGTAGGGTGTTGTGTTGTGGGAAGAAGTGATTATATACAAAGAAGCGAAAGATGGCAAGTCAAGATAGACAAGTGCTATATTCACTATATCAATGCTCTTGATTACGTGCGTACAGTATTAAGTGTAAAGATTGTGATGCGCAGAAGTATTTGCATGATGAATAGACTGGCTAGAGAAGTCTCGAGTTTACTTCACAGAGCACGGATCTGCAGAAGAAACAGCAAAACTAATGTGACCGCGCCATTACGCGATAGATGCTCTGAGGCCACACAAGTACGCTCGATATTTGCAATAGAGCTTATTGAAGACCAGAGAAGGATGATGCCTAGTTCGGAGCGCGCTCGTACTCGGAGATAGGAGTACACGCACATCGCGCACAGGCCCGCTCGAAGACTTGGAGTGATTCTGCACTGCTATGAGTCTGTAGAGGTTTATTGTAGCATCTAACCAGTAGTGCTGTGTGATATAATTCGTCACTGCAGTCATTTTCGATGATCACCTCCTCGTTGGTATGTTGCGGCGAGCTGATGATATCCACATATCAGTGACTTAGATCGTATGTCACATAAAACATCGTCAGAGCTTGCGTCGAATTTTCCGTGAGCTACTGCGAGACGTGTGTGTGTAGTCTTCGAGTGCACAAGATCC